ACACTCTGGCTGTATTTTCTCCAAGACAGATCTGTTCTTTTGGAAATTCATCGGACATTAAGTATGTTTCTTCTTCAGTCTTCCTTATTTATTGCCCAACTTTCACATCAGCCTTTAAATTGATATCCTTGTACTTTAGCACTTCGGAGACATTCTTGACAGCAGATTTTCTCAACGCAACATGTCTTTTTGACTCCTCGATTCCTGTTTCTGTAGGTGTCAATTGTGAATTTAAGTAAAATTAAATCATTGACAATTTCAAGTGTTTCTATCTAGTAATATACATCTGCAACATATGGATAATGTGAAACTAGATCTTTTTTTTTTTACTTGAATCACCTACTCCTAAGGTTACTAATGTTTCATCACAAAATTTTTGTTTTCTAATGATACCCACACTAACTCTCTGTTGCACTGTTTTCCTGAGCGAACCAATTTCTTCTTAAAACAGGAAAGAAGACATGAATCCAAAGAGAAATCCTTGAAAAGACACAAGTCTGAGGAACATAAAGACAAAGGAAGATAAAGGAAGAAAGTAAGTGAATTAATCTGAAAACACTGAGGACAGTTAAAATGCCAAGGGAGAAAGTCATCAAGAGGCAGATGTCATTCACGATCTGGGTCTCATGAAAGGTGAATTTCTAGATCACTGGTACTTATTTAATGAGAGCTGGACAATAACTAAGGATGACAGAAGAATCGATGCCTTTGAGTGAACATACCACGGGCTGCCAAGAAAACAAAGACGTCTGTCTTGAAGAGGGTGAAACCAAGTTTCTCCTTGTAGGTTAGAACTTCGAAGCTCTGTCTCATATACTTTGGGCACGTTGCCAGGGGAGACTTGTCCTTGTAGAATAACGGCATGTTCAGAAGGGTGGACGGACAGCTCAAGAGAGGAATACCCCAGATGCGATGGATTAATACAGTAACTGGAGCAATGGGGGTTGGTATGTCAGAATAAGTGAGACTGGTTCAGGACAAGACAGGCTTCAGAGATGTTGTACACAGGTGACCCAAAACAAATAGGTGACTCAGCACATAACAACAACCACAACAATAAGTACTGAAACACTGTATTAACCCGGTAGTACCAAAACCTCTGTATTGGGAAATTGATATTTTTGCTTATGATAAACACACTCAAGTAGTAGTTATAGTTATTGTAACTCTTAACTGATTAGTCCCTTAACTGAAAAATACATGATGTTGAAGTAGTTTAATTCAATGAAAGTTAATTTTTTTTTGTTCACATAGTTTGTGTTTATCATAGCTTGAATAATATTGTTAAGAAATTTATCTAACAGACGCTGCCATGGACGTGTTCACCAAGTTGTGCCAAGAAATCTGTAAAATAACCACTTAGCCAACTGACTGGAAGAGATCTATATTTGTTCCCATTCCAAAGAAGGGTGACCCAACAGAGTGTGGAAACTATAGAACAGTATCATTGATTTCACATGCAAGCAAGATTCTACTGAAGAATATCCAAAAACTACTAGAACAGCACATCAGCAGAGAACTGCCAGAAGTTCAGGCTGGGTTTAGAAGGGATCATGGTACTAGGGATATTGTAGCTGATGTTAGATGGATCTTAGCTGAAAGCAGGGAATACCTGACGAATGTGTATCTGTGTTTCATTGATTATGCAAAGGCATTTATTTGACTGTGTGGATCATAACAAACTGTGGCTGACTCTGAGAACAATGGGAATCCCAGAACATTTAATCGTGCTAATGTGAAAACTATACTTGGACCAAGAGGCAGTCCTCAGAACAGAGTAGGGAAACACTGCATGGTTCAAAATTGGGAA